GCCTTACTAGGCCTTACCTGTTGCTAGTCTATAAGACTAGCTATTACTAGCTATAGCTTTAGCTTAAGGGGTTATTAAATCTATTACCTATTTAACTATATTAACTTACTTAGAAATACTTTTCTTAATATAGGTCTTATTAGTTAAAGGTACTACTTTATATTATCTTTAACTAGAACTAGCTATATAAAGCTATCTTAGCTTTATAATAAAAGTAGTAAGACTACTAGTGCTTATAAATTAAGCTATTCTTAATAAAGACAAAGAAGTTTAATTAGTAAGTATATTACTAACTAATATATAATAGTATAATAAATAAGGTTTAGAGATACTTATAAACTAAGGCTTAGTAGTATAAAGAAGATATTATTTTTTATTTTTAAATAATTAATAAAAGATCTTAGAATAGTATTATAGTAGTAATAACTAAGGTTAAATAACTTATTACTATATTACTAAGAGTAAAGATTCTAAGATAAAGAGAAAAAGAAACCTATAGTAGGGCCTTTCTTAGTAGTGTTGTCTTTAAATCCTCTATAAACCTTTTCCTAGTTATATAACTTCTAGTAGTCTATACCTAGCCCTAGTAGTCTCTATAGCCCTTTAGCTATAACTAGTATAGTTATCTTAGCCTATAGTCTAAGTTACCTTATAATAGCTTTATATACTAAAGTAGTATTATAATAGCCTTAATTAGTCCCTAGACTACCTTTTTTATTTACCTTTTTTTAGCGTTATAGGATAGGGATTTATTCTAGCTATTGTTATTATATATATAAATTAAGGTTACTTAGGTGCCTTGCTCTATATAATAGCTTATAGTAATGACGTCCTTTTAGTTAGTAGAATCCTTATATAACTTATAGAGTATTAAACCCCTATAGATTTTCTTATTAGTTTTCCCTAGTTAAGCTTGTGCACCTAAAATATTTAAAGAAAATCTACTAGATTTTAGCCTTAGTGACTTTTAGATACTAAAGAAGTTAATTTAGATATAAATAGTAATTATAGTGATATTGCACTTACGTTAGTCTCTATTTTCTTGCTGGCCTCCTTAATTGTTGCCTTGAAAGCCGCCGGGAGCTGCGACAGACTAGTGGGCCCACTATATCTAATGAGAAGAGAACCAGTTCTTTATATTTTAAAACATAGTGAAAGCAATAGAGCCTGGCGATAGTAGCAAAAGATCTAACGACTTTAAACGACTAGGAGATGTTATAATAAAAAGAATATATAGATTCCACTAGTTAACACCTAATGTATTTATAAAGAGTGCTGTAAGTTTATGTTTAAACCTTTCTATGTCATGACAGTAAGAAGTAAGCGCGCAATAAATGTGACTGTAGTTGTATATACGTGGAGACGTCAACACAAGCTACGTAAGACGGAGTGACTGCAGGGTCTTGAACGATCTGTCATTGTTAAGACCCGCTTGAAGGTGTTGCATTCAACTGGAGGAGGTCTCATTCTATTTCTATAGGCCCACTCCTTGTCCCTAGCTACGCCATAAGTTAGACAATAAAAATGTTTAACTAGGACGCGGGAAGTAGGATTCGCCACTTCCTAAAAGCTAGTCTTGAGTTATTACCGTGGCCCCCGTACCATGTTAAAAAGATCGGCGGGGCTCTGTCTTCTGTCCTATTACAAGATCTATTGTCTATTTTCCTATTACACAGAGAGCGCTTATTGTGTAGAGAAGCAGCGAAACTATAACCAATTAATATATAGTAATAACACTTCAAGCTTCAGGCTAAGTGACATAAAATTCAGGTAGTTTTAGTCAGATTATATACAATAGTAGACAGCTCAAATCAAATATGCAAGGTATGTCATACGCGCCTCCTAAGCCTTTGGTCTCGTACTGTGTTTCTAGGGCACCTGCCAACGGCGACTTTCACCGGCGAATAATACCTCCCTCTGTTACGTCACTTCAACAGCCAATAGGCACGTGACTTTCAATCCTTCGCGAGGTTGGAATCAGAAACAAAATTGTATCATTGCTAATCCACGAAGACCTTCCCCCCTACACCTTCAGCAGCTGAAATCCTTGCCCTTGGCACCCCACCAAACTCCATAACCTAACCCATTCGCCGTCAGCAAGCGCTCTCTTGGTAAGGTAACCTTGTGTATATTTATATATACCTGCTATTCGCGCGAATATACCTAAGCGACCCCCCTTTCGCTCTCTTGTTTACACTGCTTGTAATCATTAAGCAGGCTGCGTCCTTGCCTTGCTTATTGAGTGCCCTATTGTTACGTAATCCTTTTCTCCTTCTATTTGCTGTAGTCTACTTATTTATGACAGGGAGCTAAATCACTAGCCCCTCTACCTTGCGAGCGACGGCAAGCCCAAGGAAGTAAGTAGTAATAGTGGCAGTGATAGTGGTGGTGATAGGTGTTAATGGTTGGACAGGATGTGGGGCTGAGCAGTATCTAGGGTGGAATTACACAATTAGGCACAATTGTCACGAAGGCATATAAGATTTCTCTGAATAGCCGAAGGCTGATGATGACTACAATATGGAGTCTTACTTGGTAAAGAAAATAAATTCGTGTAGTACAAGTACAGAAGCAGTTCTATAAATTAAATGGAATTGCAGAGAGGAGAAATGAGCTGTTGATTAGATATGCAAGGTATTATTGACTTACCCGACTATGTAAGTCAAAGCACCCGCTTTCTAATCACCCCCACTTTGCGATCACCTATTTACACCAAAACTACTCTTTTTCACTATAGCTTTAACTATATAACCCTAGTCTTAATAATTCTAAGAAAATTATTATATATAGATAATTATATAAAACGTTTATATACTAGTTATATAATTTTTTTACTAAGTATAGGTAAAGTATTAGCTACTTAAAGCTAAAGTAGTAAAAGTGTTAAGGTTTTAGTATATTTTACTAGTATTCCTTAACAGTATAAAAATCTATATAACTTTAGAATTATAAAATAAAAAAACCTATAATACTTTATATAGTTACTTTATAGTATAAAGTATATATTTATTAGCTTATACTATAGACTATACTAGTTATACTATAGTATATACTTAAATATAAAATTTACTAAGAAATCTTTCTTAAAGAAATTTTAACTTACTTATATAAGCTTATATAAGACTATATATTTTATATAAAAAATATAACTACTTAATATAGTAGATAATATAGCTATTTATAAAGTTTTAAGCTTATACTACTAGTAAATACTAAGTTATAGCTAATAATAATTTACTAGTATTTTAGTATATCTTTATATAAAACCTTATATCTTAAGTTATACTAGTAGGAATAAAGTAAAAAAACCTAGTATAATAAAAGTAAGTATTTAACTAACTATAGGAATTTTTATAGAATTATAGAAGCTAAGGTTATACTGTTATAGCTATAGTAAAAAGGAGTAGTTTTGGTGTATTTTAGTGTATTTTGGTGGGAAATAGGTGATCGCCAAGTGGGGGTGATCGGAAAGCGGGTGCTTTGACTTATAGCTTGATTGTACCACTGGACCGCTCAAAAGGTGATATTCTGGAGAGACCAGGGAAATAACTATCGCGAATTTAAACACACCGAAGAGCCAAAAAGACTAACAGTAAGAGATGCTTCCATTTTCGCGTTGTAGGTTCAATATCTCGCAATACAGTCACCTACTTATATTATAAATCTTATAAAAGCAGTAGGTCAATTAACTATTCGTCTTAAGCCACGTGAGCTTAACCTAAACAGCCTGACCAGGCGTAAACGGCGACGCTAGCACAGTCTATCCTTCTTAACTATTAGTGTGGGCATTGATAAATCGTTTTACGTTAATGGATGCTAAACTGACGGAAGCTGATTTTCCTACGCGATCAAGAAACCTTGGAGACAAGCAGCACAGCCTAACGTGTGGCTAAAAACAAGCTGTTCTCTTGTCTAAAGTTTAAGATTACTGACTTTAAAACTTAAGACGCAACGCTTCGCTTGCTAACTGCAAATGCGGAAATAAACAACACTAATATGTTCTAAAGAGGATTAATAACAAGCGGTGTCCTAGTGATTTTAGACCGCTTTTAGGTACATGCTAAGGAATATAATAGCATCTATTGATTATGTAATTAGAATCTGCTGCACCTACTTTAGGTCTTCTAGACACAGGGGTATATATATATAACGTATATATAAATAATCCCTAATTATATGTAACTTAAATATTTCCAGATAACTAGCTAAACATTAGTGCCCTAGGAAGAGTTACTTAATTAAGAGTCTTTCAACACTGTATTTAGGCTCTAAATGCTTCTTATCGCCCAGAAACAAAGCACTCCTTTTCCTAAGTAATATTAGAAAGGTGTAGGGTAGGAGGGACCTAAGCAGTGCAGTAGTCTAGAGCAAAACACCAACAACCTCTAAGGTAACACAAGATGCTCCCTTAATCAGTCAAAGGCTTACCTTAATCAGAGCATCAAGTCTTTTAGATCTAGGACAAGTGATGCCTTAATTACAAGAAGAGAGCGTCTAATCAGAGGAAGTCTTGTTGTAATTAGAGGGGTAAAACTCCTAATTATCTTATGTTATTACGCTTAATTAGCTTACTAAGAAAAGGTTTATGGTCTAATCTAGTCAAAAGGTAGGTCTAAAAAGAAGGGAAAAAGGTTTATTGATGTTCTATCTATGTGATTAGTCTGCCTTATATGGGCTCTTTACTTGATCAGACTAACTACTTTTCCCTTTGACGTGTCTTCCTACTTCTGATCGGCTTAAATCAATCTCTGAATTGCCCTGCCCTATTCTAATATCCTATTAATTTCTCTCTAGGACTCCAGTGTATCAAGGTCTAGCTCCTCCTGGCGCCTTCTGAAAAGGAACTTGGTAGCAGGGTTTAGAATCAAGTTCGAGCCCATCGCCATTACGGGAAGGTTCTTTGCATCCTCAGGAAGCTTCCAGTCATACTTCAGTAGCATGTGGGCCAGGGCAATCTTGAGCTCGTTGGCCGCAAAAAAGCGGCCCGGGCAGGCGTGGATGCCGTAGCCGAAGCCGTTATGCTTGTCTGAGGTGCTGACCAGGTGCGCCTGATTCTCCTGGCCTGACTTGCGCATGTCGATGTAGCGGTAAGGGTTCCATTTTGACGGATCCTGGTATATATCTGTACTGAAGTGTGTTCGACGTATATCTGTAGAAATCATGGTGCCCTTCTTAATAACAAAGCCATCGTTTGTAGTAACGTCAGCTAGGGCCCTGCGTCGGAAGGCGGCTGCGTAGAAATATTAACTTATGTCTGGTCTACAAAGGTTCACCTACCCCAGACGGAAGGCTATAAGGAGGAAGAAAACCTTACCAAGAAAGACAGGCCGCATTCTCTGTGACTCCTTAAAGCAGGCATCCATGAGGTGGAGCTTCTGGAGGGCTGACTTTTTCAAGCCGTCGGTTTGGAGCACACGGATCGTCTCCTCGCGCAAGGGGCCAAGGATTTCAGGGTGTTTTGCAATATCCATCATAGTCTGAGCCAGTAGGTCGGAGGTGGTATGGACTGCAACTAAGGTTAAATTTAGCTGGGCTTGGGTTGGGTCATAACCAGCGCTATATTCGCGCGAGAACCACTCAATAGAGTCGTTGTATGGGTTTGGCTCGCCACGTGCAGCAGCAGCCTTTTTGATGGCAATGCGACGGTCAATGTGCGGCTGTAGGACAGCACGGCAGCGTTTCAACCGGCGGCGGATCTCATAGAAGTGCGGCAGGAACCAGTGTACCCACGGGCGCATTGGCCCCGGCCACTGGCTCAACTGATACACGCCCTGGAAGGCGGCGTTTACGTACTGCGAGGACTCCTGAATCCATTCCATGTCACTACAGAGCTCCTCGCCCATAAAAATGCGTGACGACATGCGTGATACTATAACCATGAGGTCTGTAGGCTTCACCTCAGCCCATTCTGCTTAAAGTAGGTTTAGTACCCTTGTTCCTAACATATAGAAAGGTAATAGACTTACCTTTTGACTGAGGGAGTACGTCATAAAGGGCTTTAGTAGCCTCTAGCGATATAGGCATAGTTAAAGATGCTAGTTAGAGAAGTATAATTAGTTACCTAAGAAAATAATCCAAGAGGGAAGGAGGTATAGAGCTAGAACTGATTATACCTAGGGCCTTGGTGAGGTAATTTTGAACAACTTTAGTTGTACCCGCATCAGATTTAAAGGGAGACATGCCAGGAATATGCCAATGCATACCCTAGGTATACGTGTTAGCAGGATTATAACTCATTAGCCACTGTGCTATAGCGTAGATGTACCTCGCTGGCTACTACGCTAAAGTCTAGAGCGCGGTTACTCTTCAGTTCCTCAGCGTACTTGGTCGGGACCACAACCATATCGCCTTGCTCCATATAGAGCTTGTAAGGTCGGTCTGGAAACTGCTGCGTGCCCTCAGCTAGTAGCTTCTGGCTTTGCATCATATAGTCGTGGAGCCGCCCATTCCAGGTTAGCTCTGTAGCCTTCTTGGGGTTTAGCCGGGGTAGGTTGGGGTAGCTCTCCCGCTGACTGTACACAATGAGAATGAAGATGGCGGCAGTAATGAAGTAGGAGGCATATAAGGACACCTCATTGTTCTGAGTATCCCAAAATAGCTTGGCCTGTGAAATGTTTTCAAGAGACTTGATTGACGACATGGTGGCAGAATGTAGTTGAGTGTAGTATTTGAAAGATTGCTGTTGTAACTAGGAGAAGGCTATTAGTGCTGATTATATACTTAAATAGTTGGTTACTCTCCTAAACGGAGATAATTAAAGACCGACCCGGACTCCTATAATAGTCCGGCTATCAGTACTAATGATATACTTAAATAGTTAGTTACTCTCCTAAACGGAGATAATTAAAGACCGACCCGGACTCCTATATTAGTCCGACGGGATTTTTTACACTGACTAATCTACTACGTGTGATGGGTAAGTAAAAACTCCCTAACAGGTAGTGTGGAGTTGTGACCCACGTACGCGAGACTCTCACTGGCTAGAATTATGATGGATGTGCACAAGAACCTCAAAGTACCGTCGCTGAGGTAATCAGAAAAGCACGGCCATATTTACCTGACGAGGGGGTTAAACTGTGGCCCAATACCATAGTACAAAAGTTACCCTATAACCACCCTACCCTACTTATAAATAGGCCCTATATACTAACACCTATTATAACCTATTATTACTATTACTACTATTACTATTACTACTTATTTCCTTAGGCTTACTACCTACCTATATATAACTTTTGGCTTTACTAGATAATTTAGATGCACTAGATTTATCTAGATAATCTATTTAGCTAGTATTGAGAAAGGGCGGGGCATCTAGGCTAACTAACAAAGGAAAAGAAGAATAGCAAAACATAGGAAAACCACCCACACTATAAAAACATCTAATAATAATAATATATATATATTAATTAATAGGTCTTGCAATTCTTAGACCTAATCTACAAAGATATTAAAATAAAAGTACAAGTTAATAAAGTAATCGCAAAAAGAGTAAATTTCACTAAATAAATAAAAGTGTAGTAATAACTAGTAGTGTATTTCTGTATAGAGTATTAAGGCTAACGACAACGACTATATATAAATAATTATGTCCTCTCTAATCCCTTCTTAGGTCTATAAATCTCTTTTTTAATAGGTAGGTAGCCTTTTTATTAATCTATCCCTTAAGTTAATAACTATGTAATTCTTATAACTATGCTACCTAACCCTATTATAGTATCTATATTTTTTATCTACTAGATATACTTAATAGTAGTAAAGGTACTATTAGGTAATAAAGAGACCTTTTTTTTTATATAACTTCTAGTCTTTTAACTAGGCTTTTAATATATTAACTTACTTTTCTAGAAGTACACTTCTAGATATCTCTTTATTATATCTAGAATAAGTTAAAAGAATAAGTTAAGTTAATTTTTACTATTAGTACTAATATATATATATAGTAAGTAGTATATTATAGTAAGTAATATACTATAGTAAGGAGTATATTATAGTAAGTAGTATATATTTACTTTATTTTTACTAGCTTTACCTTTATGTTAACCTATCCTTATATATAGTAGTAGAATTCTCTTCTTAAGAAAGCTAAATTATCTTTATAATTATAGTTATCTAAAAGACCTAAAATTAATTTATATAAAAGGTAGCTTTTATCTATAATATACCTAAAACTATAAATAATTATTAATATACTAGATTAGTTATATAAGCTAAGATATATTTAAAATTAATAAAGATAACTATATAAAAAGAAAAAGAAATTCTTAAAAAAGTAATTAATTTTATTAACTAAAGATTTATTTTAGAAGAAGAAAATATATAATATATAGTAAACTAACTCTTTAATATATATAATAGAATTTATATTAGATCTTTATAAGTAAAGAACTTTATATAATAATAACCTTGGATAAAAATATAATTTTAATATTAGATTAACTATTAAAATGTCCTAGCTTAAGATCTAATAATTATATAAGGATTATTTACACTTATATAAAATATAATTATAAAATATAAAATATAGGATTATAATATCTATAATTTTAATAAGACTAGGTTCTTAATAAGAATACTTTAATATATAAAGGTTATTATAACTTCTAATAATAAAGAAAGGCCTTATATAAAGTAGCCTAGTAATTAAGAATAAGTTTTTACTATTTGAGATATATATATAGATAGCTAGGCAATATCTTTATATATTATTATATAATATAAATATTACCTTTGTTTATAGATTTAAAATAGTAAATCTTTAGCTATATACTATATTTACTTAAGTAAAAATAAATAAACTATAAATAAAATTAATATATATATATAGTAAGTAGATAATTATAGTAAGTAGACTATATCTACTTACCCTTCTATTATTTTAATAAGTTAATTTAACTATATTATATAAAATTAATTAAAACTATATATTACCTTATTCTTTATTACTATCTTAAACTACCTTATAGGTTTATATATTATATCTAGTCTTTCTATAATTACTATATTATTATATATATAGTTTACTACCCTTTATATAACCCTCCTTTTAGGATATTTTTTTACCTCTAGCTTTAATACCTTCCTTTTCTCTTTATAGTGCTTTTACTTTAGTTATATTA